AACCGTCAAGGGCAGGACATTCTGGAAGAGAATCATTCACAAGTCAGAAAGGACTTCAGGCACATCACAACAAGCTCTGTGGAAGTTGTTGTAGTGGCTCGAAGTGTTTTACATTCTGCTTTAAATTTGGTATTGCAATCATATGTCATTCTATTGTACTTGTGTTTTGTATTGTATTTGTACGAAGTGTTATGAGCTTCCCAGAGACTGGGAAGCTATTGGGCAGTGCAGAAATGAGATCAGTTGTCAGAATAACAACAATAGCAGTACGTGCTTCAGAGATTGCGTTGTCCTTGCGTTCTCCTCCACCTTGTTGCACAGATCTCTTCGAAAATCATTTAAAGCTCCATGGGATACGCATTGGAATGAGCCTCTATTGAAGTGTTTTGGCTCAGGCTTTTACAGGTATGTGAGCATGTTTCCTGTAGGATTTGCCTTTGTTTTCTTTCACAAAGTCACCAAGAAAATGCTCCCCTGCCATTGATTTAAGAATTTTATGGGGAAAATAAGCCAGTACTTGCATGAGCCCAAGAGAGCAGCGTATGTGTCTGCGTGTCCTATAAAGTAATGAATCTTATTCCTTGTGGCTGAAACTGAGTGGTACATATATAAAATTTGTTAAAAATCGTACAAAGCCAAACTAAATACAAAAGGAAGGGGAAGGGGAAGGCGAAGGAGAAAGAACACTTCTGTTTCATACTAGAAGGTGAGTCCCACTTCAAATAAGCATCGCTTGGTAAAATCCCATTCTGTTAGGGCTTATTCTCGTAGCACTGATTTTATTTCGACCCCAGTTGTGCCTCACCTCAACAATACACACGCAACTCCCAACAGCTTTTGAAATCTTCCTTAGGGAAGAAAAGAAACCAGGCTCTGAAGTGCTGGAAGACTTACACATTCTTTCAAGCTGGCTAGCAAGGCTGCTGGTCTTGGCAGGATTAAACGTGGCATTAAAAGCCACGATGGGGTACTTGGTCCACCAGCAAAGAAGCCCCTGCTGCTGAAAGCAGATGGGCTGGAAGTATCTGCAGATCGCAGTTCGGGAAGGAAGTTCAGAAGAGAAGGATGGGGTGCAAATCTGAAGAAGAGGCTTTTGCTGGGGGCACGTGGCCTTGAGCATCAGCAGCAGAACAGCCCAGCTGGGTCAGGCTACGGGCCCATCCACCCCAGGGATGTTTCCCACGTTGGTCACACAGGTGTGAAGGCAGGAGCTACATTGCCAGCACCCAATATTCACAGATGCGTTGCTTCCAGGCACAAAAATGCCATTCCGGACTCCCTCTGCTGGATCAGGCCAAAGGTCCAGCTGGTCCATCATGCTGTTTCCCATGAGGTTGACTGGTGGCAGGCTTGGGACAGATAGAAGAAAGAACTTACTCACCTAAGGTATAGTTAAACTGTGGAATTCACTGCCGTCGGAAGTGCTGATGGCCACCAGTTTGGAGGGGTTTAAAGGGGGATTGGACAGATTCGTGGAGGAGGTGGTTGGCAGTGGCTACTGGTCTCACTGGCCGTGTGCTCCCTCCTCCACCAGAGGCGGCCAGCCTGCCTACAGTAGCTGCTGAGCAGCTGGGCA